AATGGACTGCATTAGAGGCTTGCCGAATTGCAGGTTAATCTTTCGTTTCGGAGGAGGCGCATTCGGTCCTTCTTCAGCCGTCCTTTTCTTGCTACTTCGGACTGAAAGGGGGAGAGGCGGCACAGGAAACGCGGGGGTCGTCGGAACCGTGACCAAGGCTTCGTTCGGGGACTGAGGGGATCGAGCTGTCAGATGTCGCGGAGCGTAAGGGGATGACGAAAGGTCAATCTTCGAAGTGCTGGCAAGATTTTCGGAGCTACCAGAATGCTCTGCCGGATATTTTCTGTCGTCACAGTCGAGCGAGTGGGAGTTGCGGTACGTTGGGACGGGGACCGAGGGATCTGCTTCAGGAGCGGTCATAAGGAAAGCCTTCTCGTTGTCGATCTCTGCTTCGCCATCGGTAGGCTCTTCAGAATAAGCGTGTGGAAGGGGCGACGAGTATGCAGCCCACAGGGCTTTTTCGTCGGAATCGTCGATCAAGTCCATTCCCACTCCTCTCGCGGCCGCGTACCACAGCGACGCTGGCGAATCATGGACGGGGGAGCTCCATATTTGGGTCTGCTCAAGGCTAGATGCAATTATGTCGCCTGCGATAAGTAAATCAGCTGCGTCCAATTTGAGCAGGTAAGGATCCGCCCTACTCATTCTTCTAGCGAGGGTGGTTGAGAGGGATAGGCGATGATTTTCCTCTTCAGGACCCACGATCAATTAGGACTACGGTGCATTGAGTCGGTACATGTTTGGTAAAAGAAGCTCCGCCGTCAACCAGCGCAAACCTCCCTTACTCCGCAAGCCGCTCTTCAACCCTTCGACAAACGCGGAGCAAGGTTTGCATGACGAAAACATCTCGCCCGAGAAAGGTCTGCTTTGTTCCGTCATCGAAGGGATCGCAACTATATGAATTTCTCTCAGCCGCAGCCCTGATCGTGCAAGATTTCTACGTCAAAATTTCTACCGCAGCACTGGCGCTCTACTCCTCCGCATCCGCTTATGCTCATGAACGTGGGCTGATCCTCGCCGATACTAAATTCGAGTTTGTGCGCAAGCAGGGCAAGGGAGCAAGTGCTCAATTGTTAGCTCATTGTCGGCGTGAGCTCTTCCACGCAGCGTGGAAGCTCATCCTTGACGACGAGTTTCTCGAGGCCTACAAGCACGGGATTGTCATCGACTGTGCAGACGGGATTCGACGTCGTGTATATCCCCGAATCTTCACTTATTCGGCGGATTATCCAGAGAAGTCCCGCTTCCAACTCAGACTGTCTATCATTGGTACTTACACCTGTCCTTCCAGGGTCCTCATAGCAACGGTCCGGGATATGGGAAATTGCCCGTGTCCGTGGTGCAAAATTCTCAAGGAGGATATTCCCGATCTCGGGACTGCCGCAGACACAGCAGTCCGCTGAAACGCTACACTTGCTCATGGGCGTGGAATGAAGACTTGCTAAGAATGATGCTCGAAAACACCAAACTAAACAACCCAACTCACACACACACACACTACACAAGTGCGTCACACAGTTTTCGAGTTCGGGTCACCCTGAAGTATACAGGTAAGATTGGACCGCTCTCTCTCTCTTGGTGATTTGGAGACAAGCCAGGTTCGACAAGGTCGAACTTCTTGACAAGGGGGACTAGGTGGGAGGCAACCACTGCAGTCCTCCGAGCTCGCTTCAAGGAACATTCCACTTCGAAATACTCCGAAGTAAACAAGGGGTTTCAAGAAGGATATTGAGTCCTAGGACTGGAACTTCAGACCTTCAGACTCCTGCCTGAGACCAAAACAGATTGGGAAACAGGACTTCAACGGTCGAGCACTCGGGCTCTCTCCAAACACCAGGGCACTGCAACTGGACTTCTCGGGAACAGTATCAACAGTGGACCTGCCGCAACAACCAGCAGGTGCCTTTTTCACACACAAGGGAACTGTCACCGGACACTCGGGAACGATGCTAACAGCTTGACCTGAGGTAACAACCAACAGGGACCTTTTAAACACTGACTTACAACTTCGACTCAGAAGTGGAACTTCACACTAATAGCCAACAATTGCAACTGAATTATGAACTAACACACTAGGACAGTATTTAAACAGTCTTTTGTGTGGAGCCCAGACAGCACCTAGGCCTTCCAGAGACTTCGACCTTTTCAGGCCTAGGCCTCCATGGGGCCCCAGGGTCAGTGCTGAACTACACAATTTACAGGCCTTTTATACTAAACAGAGAAAACATAATAGTAATAGTACATGAGTAATTGAGTGGGGATTTCGGAGTATCTAGCGGGTCTGCCATCCTGATTCATCACCCTAGGCCGAGATTAGTCATCTAGAATGACTGGCTCTGGCCTATCTTTAGTCCTAGGACTGGTGCCAACTTCCTCTTTGGTCGCTTTGCTGACTTATTCAGCAAGTATTGAATATACCCCACACCCTATTGGATGCTACAGAATCACATGTGTCCCTCAGAACGCGAATCATCTCGGCTTGGGGGTCCTAGGACTGCCTCGGCATGTCCTAGGATGACTGATTGACATCCTGTCATGCCTTTGGGACATGTCACCCTCGGCATCAAGGTCTAGATCATCTTCCGTGATGCTCCGAGACCAGGATCAATCCTCCCATCAACTGGATCAAGGTCCTCGGAAGGTCCGAGATCTCTTTGGTGAGTCCTAGGACTCAACTCCCTGACTCCTAGGAGTCAAATGCTCTGTCCGATTGAACCAATTCCAGTCCTAGGACTCAATTCTGAGTCCTAGGAGTGCAATCCTCCATCCAATTGGGCTGATACAAGTCCTAGGACTGCTCATGTGTGGTTCTCAAGCAAGAATACAATGTGTTGGCTGTCCGGGCTTTAGTGTTTATCTCCTTGGTACTGTATCTAGTCTTTAGAAGTCCAAGGACCCAATGGATTGTTATACCGATCCTCAATGGTAGAAGAACCAAGCCATAACACATCCTAGGACCAAGTCCATCCTAATACATCATTGATACTCCATCAGCAGCTCGGAGCTCACTCTGACTCTAATTGTATATCACCGGATAGAGGCACTAGTAAGCGTACTAGAAGTGCTGTTTTGCACGATTTCACGGCTGCGCAAATTCCAGTCGTATCACCGCGCTGAAGGTATCCGCCGCGATGATGCCGACCGTCGTGGACCAACGCTACCCAGGCCCCTGCCTCTGGCAAACGAGCAGTAGTGTTCAGCCTGAATACTTGATGAGCACGAGGAGCATCCCGCGCCTGGCGTGAGGCGTGCCCGAAATACAAATTATCAGATTTTATTCAATATTATTCATTTTTATTCAAATCCTGCCCGATAATATCCACTGTGCAAAGCCTCCTCGTAAACCGCTGAGATACGCTCACAACCCGTCCCTCGGAGCCTATTCCACAAAATCGTTTCCCTCGTTGCCAATCAAGGTAACTCTTACCTCTGATTGCAACCCAGAGAAAACTGCCTTACAATTGGGATGTAAACTAGGCGGGCGCCATACACGCAATTTCGTGGGTTGCGCACCGCTTGCGCCCAATTGCGCGGGTTACACGCGGATGTGACCGGCATATCAGCCGGTGACAAATCTTCTGGGAATTTTGCAATGTAGACGCGGTGTTTGTCAACGCCATCCAAGCCAAACTCGTCATATCGTTCCCAATCGGGCGATCATGCCCAAAACAACATCCCGCGGAACCGTGACAGCTTATATTTGAAGGGACGGTAGCCGAGGTGCTATCTTAGCAGCAGGAATAGAAACTTGTTAATGCGCGTTTGATTTTCACCCGCAGACGCGTCTCAAGATTACGTGGAATAGGGATGTGAACCGACCATAATACAGATAGAACAGGTAGAAGTAGAATGCGCTGATTATATGCGAAATACAGATTATATACAATGAGGGCTATATTGGATGCAGGGACCTGCATATTGTAGAGACCTTGTTTGATTAGTACATTTACGCGTAAGGGTTAGCAGAGACGTCCGCGTGCGTGGCGCCTGAGGCGTGGTTCAGATTCGCGCCGCCGATGTTGAAGTTGACGTGGGCTTGCGCGGCGACTGCTTCGTTCAGAGTGGCAGCGACTGACGCCTGCACGGCGTGGGCGTTCGACGCGGGGTTGAGAACGTTGAAGTCGACGTGGGCGTGAGCGTTCGCGGCATGGTGACCCACGCCGGCCTGGACGTTGGCGCCGACGAGGTTGAAGTGGGCGTAGGCGTGTGCGGCCACGGCGATTAGTACGTGCACATTCATGCCGGCGACTGTGGGGTGCAGATTAGCACCGGCGTGAGCGTTCGCGGGGGGATGCATATTCACGCCGGCGTCAGCAGGCGCTGTGGTCGAACGCGTGTGGGCGGCGTTGGGTGTTGGGTACGGGTGATATCTGTGAGACCTGGTGCGTTGTTTGCGATATGCGGGCATCTGCTGAACGATGAGTAGCTGGTGCCATAGCTGAGGGTCACAGTGGGACTTGCCCTTAAGGTGGTAGTGGTTTGAGGAAAGAACGATGTTGAGCTACGTTTGGTTCCAAACAAATCAGGACGCTCTTTAAATACCTTCTCACTCCCGCGGCGGTAGGCAGACAAGGCCATCTGTTAACAGTCTGACCTGCGAGAAGGGGTACACGATTTTGGGGGGCGCACGACGTTATTTGGAGGTTTTTTATTCGCGTCTGATCCGACTTCCCTGGAAGGGGGCTTTCTGGGTGAACCCGTGACGGCGTCCCGGCCGCGAAGGTAATAATGACTTGTCAATTTGACGCAGCTTACTATTAGGTAGAATGCCCAGAGAATAGGTTGGGGCAGCGTACCTACAGGAAAGCTGCAACTAATATTACTAATATTAGCACGGCGCTCTAACCAATTGCTTATTTGGCCGTTGCAAAGTCAGGGTAAATTTATGAGTAGACATAAGATTAACTCGAAGTGCAGAGTTTAGACACGGTGCAAGAGATGCTCCGACCTGTCTTCATCTTCTGCCGCTTGTTATACAGAGTAGTGTTCCAACATGGGAAGCGCCTATTGTCTAATGGTCTATGACATCAGACTTCTACCGATTTCATTGATATCTGGTATCTGGGGGTTGCAGGTTCGAGTCCCGCTAGGCATTGTTTCTTTTCTTCTTTTGTCGCAAATTCGGAGACGGAGACAACACCGGAAACGAGTGAAGACGAAATTCCCTTTGCTTTGCAAGGGTAAATTAATCACGTTTAGTAGAAGTCTGGCGTCATAACCCAGGCCAACTCAGACAAAGATCAAGTGAATAACAATGACAGAACAGAAGCTGGAATGAATGAGTATGGGATGCTGGGTTCATTGGTGCGAGGAGAATAGGAAAAAAATCCAAAGTGAAAAGCGGTCGCCGATTCGAACTTGCGAAACCATCTAGTACTACTGACAACATTGAACGTACAAAGCAGCAAGTTTCCAAGCCCTCCAAAAGCTCTTACTGCACAGTCTCTTGGGTGCTACCTAGAGCCCACCAGGTATTTTTTTGAATATTTTGAATACAAAAAACTAGTACTAAACCCAGGCCAACTCAGACAAAGATCAAGTGAATAACAATGACAGAACAGAAGCTGGAATGAATGAGTATGGGTCATTGGTGCGAGGAGAATAGGAAAAAATCTAAAGTGAAAAGCGGTCGCCGAAAGGTTCGAACTTGCGAAGTAAAACAGGTCATCTGCTCACCACATACAAAGCAGCACATTTTCAAGCCCAAGAGCTCTTACTGACCAGTCTCTCGGGTGCTACCCAGAGCCGTACTTTTTCGAATATTTTTGAATATACAGTAGCTGACGCCAGAGCTATCCTCCGTGCTGGGCCAGTGCTGGGCCGCGGCGGCTGTGCTGGGTCAATAGCGTTTTGTGGATGAATATACAGCAGAAAACCATAGGTCAAGTCTTGGTGTCCTCCCGTTTGAGTATGGGATGCTGGGGTTCATTGATGCTGAAACGACACGCGTAGGCGTTGCCTGCAGTGGACTTCCAAGCAGCTTACGCCATTCACCCTTATTTACCGGTACAGTACTTATTTTCTCCATGGATAGTCTTTTAAACAGGTCTTTTCCTGCTCTGTAAATTGTTTTACCGTTGCAAAGCAAAGGGAATTTTAACGTTTCGCAGTGATTCGATTGACGCGGGTTCGATTCCTGCCTGCGGGCTGCTAATTATCTTTCCACGCATGTCGGAACGACATGCGTAGGCCTTGCCTGCAGTGATTCTAACAGGGAGCTCGATGGGACTTCCAAGCAGCTGGTGCCATTCACCCTGGTTTCTCCGTCCATAACGATCTTCTTAGGTTCCTCAGTAACTTGGGCGCGGATCAGAGGAAATTCTGTTCGATTCGTCTTTATTGAATTGGATGTTAAAACTAACGGTTTTAGACTACACTTTACCTACACTGATTCCTACCACTTGGCTGTGTGACGTCGACAGAAGTGATATCATGAAGCGCCGCGCCGGAGCGAAATTTCTGACGAAGCTGCTCAGAGTCATTCACCTTGTGGACTCTTTCTCGTTCACTCCGGCTCGATGACTTCACGAGGTTGAGTGATTCTGATTTTGTTCAACGCGGGAGATGCGACTGGCGGTCGCCAAGCGCAAAGTGACGAAAAAGTGGTATGTAAAACTCAGCCCCCCCCCCCCAAAAAAAAAAAAAAGCAAAAACTAACCCCCGGCGGGATTCGAACACGCAACCTTCAGATCCCTAAATTACGTAATCGAAGTATAGAAGTCTGACGTCCTGAACCATTAGACAACGGGGGCTTTTCCATTGGAGAATAACTACTAGGTAGAGTAGCATAACTAAATTACCCACCATCTTCTTGACTTTCGCGCGCTTCTGAGTAAGCGCATCTTGTACGACCGCAATGACTTTGGCCCAGTCCGTTCTCCAAACTAGGAGGAATGTCAAATCGATGGTTCTTGAGGATGGACTGAAGAAGTAGGTGAATAGAGATGCAGCAGCGAAAAGCGAACATACCAGAAGAACATCTGTTATAGTATCACCCTTATAGACATTGATCTTGCTTGAAAGAAGGACGGCGGGGGCATACTTCTTAATGTTCGTCTGTGTGCCCAAGATTACATCCGCAAAGGTTTGAAGTAGCAAACGAACTCGGACTTACCGTGAGGTCAGCAGAAACCTCGTATGCTGCCTTGGAGCCGACAAGTTTCTCGAGATGATTTCCGACTGCAAAGATGTTGGCCAGAAGTTTGGCTTCTCGAAGCGAAGCCGGATCCTTGTAGCAGAATAATGTGAGACGAATCATAGAAGACAACGGCAGATGTCACTCACGTTCAGGAAGATATCTAATTCGTTGATCTGCTCGGTGCGAAGTCACTTCTTCTCGCCATAGCGCCTCGAAGCTATGACAATGTTTTGATTGGCCAGGGCAAAGGCGGGCGCAGTGCCAGCACGGTGTTCGTTGTCCGAGCCAGTGTCGTCGCCACCAACCATGGATACGTAGCTACGCTTTGGGGCACCGCTAGCAGAAGGGGCAATCGGAGAGCTCTGGGCCATAGCGTCTCTCATGCCACGGAAGTCATCGTCATCGTCGTCGAACGGAGGAGTGCTTGCACGAGAAGACATTCTGAATGAAGATTTGAGGGGAGAGGGAGCGTCCACTTACACACAGTTATAGTTTTTGGGCTTCCTATTTGGGAAATGCGGGTGCGATAGTCACCAGGGCAAGAAAAATTACAGCTGCTCGAATACGGACGTCGGTTCTTGTTAGCTTGCAACCGATTGATGCCCTAGGAACCTCGTTTTGTTTTCTCTTGACCAATGCCGCCGAAAGGATTGAACTAATCCACTGGGAAAGCGACGAAGTGTGGAGTAACGCGCCGTTGACAGACTACAGATACAATGAAGAGAGAACCCATGTTCAGTGTCGAGTTTGCTCAGACGGGGTAGCGCCGGAGCTCCGCAAATGGATTACCGTCCGAAGTGTCCAGCTTTCGCACTTGACTAGCGGGCCACACTTGCGAGCTGTAGAGTTGGCTGAGAACGCAAAGAGGAGGGAAGGCATACTAGCAAAGGAGAAAGCGGCTGATGCAGCAACGGAAGAACTGCGAACGATCGAGTTTACGAGTCGCCGTGTTGATGGTCCGCTTGCAGGTGCATCTTCAAGAGTGATGAGTGAAGCGGAGGCAGACATGTGGGCAGACTACAAGATAAATGGGGCAAACTTTAGTGCGGGGGACGATGTTGAGGATCCAGAGGCAAGACACCGCCAGTTGCGGGAGGAAGCCGAGTGCTTCGGCTTGTGGAATCCTGAGGCAATGGCGAGGAAATTGGGATTCGGAGATGCCGATGCGGCAGAGATAATCGAAGAGGATGAGGAGGACGACTTCTTAGCGGAAATATTTCGCGATGCAGGTGAGTTCTTCTCTTCTGGATGGGAGTTCAAGTTGTGGTACGAGTCGCGCCAAGAGGACAGCCTATCAACAGCACGTGCCACAGGGCACTTTCCATATCGGGTCGCTCTCACACGTCGACGAGTCGAGTTCGCTCAGATTGTAACAGCCATCATATTAGGGTTAGCACAGCCACCCAATGGAACTTACTTTCTTACACCAATCACGAGAAAGTTTCGAGCTGAACACAAAAAAAAAACCTGTTCTCTGAAAAAAAATATACATTCATGTGGAAAACATTCTTGTTTCAGGGGAAAAAAAAAAATTGGAAAAGAAGAAAGTTTCTTTTTGAACTTCAGTATAAATTCTGAGTACAAGTCATAAAAAATTGCTCAACTGGAAAATTTATCACAACAGCAAGCTAAAAGAATGAGGTGCTGTCAAAAGACCCAAAAAGTACTTAAAACAGCCAAAAAAAAAAACACGGAAATGGTAAAATAAACCCGTTCTGATTAAATGTGCAGATTGACCGCCATACTGATGAGTTGGTTCCGTAAAGAGTTGGAATATACAGCAGAAAACCATAGGTCAAGTCTTGGCGTCCTCCCGTTTCTTTTTCGCCAGCTTCCGTTCGACGAATGCAACATACTGTGCCATCCCCTTCTCCATCAGTCTGAGTTTTCCGCCGCCGACACGATACGTCTTTCCCGGAGGGGTGGTAGGGTCGTCCTCGTCTTCGCTGGAGGAATCTTCCGACACATCGTCATCCTGTGCGGCATGCCGGAGCGATTCGCCCTCAATCACGACGCGGCTGAACCACCTACGACTGATGAGACGACGAGGGCTGTTCGGGTGAAGATAAGAAACTCACCGGTCGTGTGTGATTATAATTATGCCACCCGTGAAGCTCTTGAGGGCCTGCGCGAGGGCCTGGATGGTAGGGAAATCGACGTGCGTGGTTACTTCGTCGAGTAGTAGCAGCGGTGGGGGTTTGAACACAATCAGCGCTATCGCTAACCGGACCTATCAACGATGAGCGAAGTATTGGTATATGGCATCAGCTATATCCATGCCAAAACATCACCTTTTGCCCGCCGCTCAACTGCGAAAGCGGTGTATCGCTCGCAATCTTCCCTTGGAGACCAAATGATCCCAGACACTTCCGAGCATCCTGTTCGACGACGGTCTCCCCTTTTGCCTCGAAATATTCCATGAAATAAGACAGCGCCGTCACCGGGCCATCGGATATCGATCTAGTGAGAGTACTACTAGAGAGTTCCTCGACAGAGTGTTGAGAAAAGTAGCCTATTTTGAGTAGAGGGTGCCGAGTAATCGTGCCTTTGGTGGGTTTGAGGGTGCCCATGATCAACTTGGCAAGCGTGGATTTTCCTTGTCCGTTCTGTGGCGAAAAAATTACTTTATTAATGCGACATAGTAGCGGTCAAACCAAAGTTCTCACGGCGCCGACAAACGCATAGCGTCCACCTTGGTTGACGGTGAATGTGATATCCTCTAGGAACGCCTTCTTGACCTTTGGGAACCGGTACTCCACGGCATCGAAATGTATCAAATCACCGACTGTCCGCATCTTTTCCGGGCTGTCGATATTGATTTTGATTTTCGATTCAGAGACGATCTTTTCGACATCGGCGCGATTCGCATTGAAATAACCTGCCATGTCGCGATTGAGTTTGAACCGCGTTCCTTTCGCGCTGGTCTCTGCTCCCCAACGCTCATCTAGCCTAAAGCGTAGATATATCAGCTCAACCTTCCTTTACGCAAAATGAGATAAACTAACTTTTTCTGCCGCGATTTGACCATCCGCTGTCTGAATCGTGATAAATAAAAAACAGGATGGAAGTTGATAAGGAAATCACCTGTTCTCATCTCCGGTTTTCTTTGCGCTGGCAATACCCTGCTGGATTGACTTTTCGATCTACTTGAAAGGTCAGAACAGAAATCAGAATTATTTATGAGCTACCCACATGTTCCCGTTTCTTGTCCAGTACCTCCTGCGCACTCGTCAGTTGCTTCTTTTTCTTCCGCTCATTGACCTCAAAGGCAGCCGGTGTGCCTTCGAAATATTCCAGAGTTTTATTTCGGAGGATGATGGTCTCTTCGACGACATTATTGAGGAAGTCTTGATCATGTGAGATGAGCACGAGAGTTCGCGACTGGGAGCCAAGGAATCCCTCGAGCCAGATTATCGCTTCGAGATCCTGTTCGGAAATATTGAGATGTTAAAAAAGATCGACTAATCAACACACCAGGAAATTGGACGGTTCATCGAGAAGCAGAACATCGCTATGAACGAGCAACGACGTAGCAAGGGAGCAGCGAGACCGCCATCCACCAGAAAGGGAAGTGTAGGTGCTATCCATCATCTCTTGAGTAAAACCCAAGCCCGAGAGGATGGTGGCAGCCCGCGCTTCCGTGGACGACGTTTCGAGCTTTCCAGGAAATAAGGTTATGACTGGCGAGCATTTCAAGACATACGTACCAGTTCTAGTGTGACTTGAATATCTTGAAGCATTTCCAGGGCTTGGTTCATAATATCGGGCTCGATGTCGCCTGTATCAACCCCCTCGAGTCTTGGGTGAATGAGCTTCGTAGGTTTTACGGGAAACGATCTCTTACAAAAGCTCGGCGTGTTTAACGTTATCCTCGGCCTTGATTTCTTCCAATCGCGCGTCTTTACCACGCGCACCTGATCTGCGGCTCGCGACTTTCTTAGCTTCCACTAACTCTCGGCGACGTTTATCGAGGCGTAAACCATAAACAATGCGCTGCGTCTCGCACATGGACGTGGTTTCGACTGCCTTGGTCAAAACTAATGCAGTACAAATTAACAAATGTATTGAAAGAACGGATACACCACGCACGATCAAGCTCCTCCACCGCGGCCTGCCGCTCCTTGTCGCCTTTGACTACATGCTCAAGGACTTTGATGGAGCACACCCCGGGTGTATCGGTTGCTCTAGCGCTATCCTCGACCTGGGAGAGCAAGAGGATCCGGATGGACGGACTCAGACCGGGGATCAGCTTGTCCGCAATGGCCGTCAAGAGCGTCGATTTGCCCGAGCCATTCCTCCCAACAAGGCCGTATCGAATGCCCTCCTTGAGACGCAGATGACTGGACGAAATGAGTTCGCGTTCTCCGATTGAAATGGTGACTGCTTTGAGATCGATCTCGAGAGTAGTATCAAGTGTTTCGGTGTGGAAGCGGGATTGCTGAGAAGTCGCAATAATCGCATTGGTGGTTTTCGAAGACGTCGCTTTTGCTTTGGGAGCCATAGTAGTAGTATAGAGCAAGGATAGTAGCAGTCATTTCGAACGGAACCGATGCTATAATTAGGCGGGCGATAAGAGTGAGCTGGTAATCACACAGCCACACACACAGCGATTCA